TTATAATTGATTTGAAGCATTATAAATAAATCAAAGAAGCTTGCAAGATTTCAGTCCTTCATTTTTGGTCTCTTGATGCCTCCTGTGCTACAAGTGCATGGGACTTTCATGGATCAGGCCTTTAACAGGGTTATTCTAAACTGGCCCTTACAAACACGTTATAGACAAGTCAGCCTGGTCTTCAGAGTATCTCTATTATTCCAAAAGAAACCAGATTAAAGCCTTCCCTCTGCACAAACAGAGAGGGAATAACAGTTCCTATGATTGGATGGGCATTCATTATTCAGCTCTGAATCTCTGACTTTATTAAGTCCAAGGCAAAAATGGAACTTCAAACACCTTCTACAGTGCAAACCAAAGATTGCTCTGGAAAAAGCATGGTTGTCCCACTGAGGGGCTCAAACATTTTAAGAGGAAGCTGTTGCCCGCGTTTAGGGTACAAATCAACATTCGCAAATCAACAGGAGCGGCCTGCCAAATGAAAATAAGATGGGCCCCAAATTAAAAATTTGCTGGACTTTGTTCCCCATCCACTATCCTCCATCTCCAAAGAAAGACTTATGTCACTTCTAAACAGAACTGGCTTAGAAAGTAAAAAGGAAAAGAAAGCATTTTATCTTCCAGAATGGCAAAGCAATTTTGGAACACTGAAAAGGGGCCAGTATTCGTCACCGCAGTTTACAACGCATGGGTAAAAGTCAAAACAAAACAGAACGTTTCCTAAAACTGTACTCAGTAGACGGACCCTGCTTTATACCAACCAGCAGGTCAGATTCCGTTTCTGAAGAGTTCTTAGAAGAAGAAGAGAGCCTTGGCTGCAAATTAAAACTCGTCTCATGACTAGCAGATTTTAATTATCCATAATTCATGATGGTGTATTGGTGAAATAGTTTCAGTCAATTTTATCAGCCTCAAAGGCAAGATACAGGGTGTATCCGAAGACACAAAGTAACAGAGCCCTATTAGAAAGATTTGGGACACGGGTTTCGACAGTGCTGTTGACTCTCCCAGAAATGCTACAGGGTTAACAGCTTTCCCCGACGTGGGTGGGCACATAACGCCCGTAACAGCCTCAGCACACCGCGCGAAGCCCCGGCGAGCGCGACGCTACGCTGAGGCGGGATTCCTGCCGTACGCCTCCCATTCACAAGCAATTTTGCCGGCGCTAAGAACGAGAAGCTCCCTCCCGTACTTTGTGGGCCCCCTAATGACATAAGGATCTGGGGAAATCCTTCCGCGCTCATAATTCACTAACATAACAGCAGCGCTTTAGCCAAGGTTTCTAAGAGTAGGATGAGTCCCCAGGTTGGTAAAGGGCATTTTTTTCCTCCCATGGTTTACTTATGGGGGAACACAAGCGCAAAGGGTCTCCCTAGAGGTTTATCCAAACCTAAGCAGGGGGGGAAGAAAATCCCCAAGTTTTCAAGAGGCAGCTGGAGGGACGTAAAAACACCCCACGACAGAAGGACGATCCCCTTACCGCGAGCGCAGGAACGCGCCGCCTCGCTCCCGCGATGCGCGGCGGCAGCGAGACGCCACGAGAGCTTCGCCCCCCCCTCCCCTCCCGCGGCCCCAGAGCTGCTGCCCTCGCGCTGGGCTGGGCCCTTTCCCGGAACCCGCCTCCCCGGGAC